AGTTGAAGTTGTTTGACGCTCTAACCAGCACGAAGGTGCCTAGAAATCCAATTGCAGCCCTTGCTATAAAGACTCGTGAGACCATGACCGAGGTGGCGGAGATGCTCGCAGAGCGATTTGTACGCTCCGTCCCTGAAAAACCTGGACTCTTACCCAGGGAACCCAAAGGAAACTGAACTTCTCTATTAAAAATAATATTTGTATGAGAAATATTTGTGTCGAATCAACACTTATGAATCAAACGAGATATATAAGAACCATATAAGAACCATATAAGAACTATATAAGAATTATATAAGATATATACGAACATATAAAAGCCATATAAAAAGCTTCGGAGAAGTTTCTCATGTTTCTTATCTGGTTCTTATATATGTGCTTATATTTTATAAAGTTCTCATAGAGTTCTTATATATTATTCTGGTATGTTCATATATCCTGCGTTATTCATATGTGTTTATTGGGCGCGACATTTCTCATACAAATGTCTTTTCCACTAGGGTGGCTAGTTAGCTACAGCGGATAACGAGTTATCCTATTTCTTTTTTAAGCTAAAATATGAGCTCCGACACTGTAAACGCCGCAGGGCCCCCGACTTCAATAAGATAACTTATCAAGCTTTGCAGAACACCGATCAAGTGTACCACTCAACATTTTTAGACATACTGAGTGAAATATGAAAAACGGCTATTCTGTTAATGCAAGGGTACAAGCAAGCTGGTTCAGAACTGACATTTTTTACACTGGAATGTAGGGAAACAGAAGGACAGGAAAACACGAATCGCCAAAGAAAGTTAAGATTTATTTTACGAAAGACAACCTTATATCCAAGACGAACAACCGAAACAGACAAAACAGACAGAGATGACAGTGTTGACGTCACGCGTACACAAACCAGTATACGTGCATGTAAGTAGCCTACATAACAACCATCAAACCAAGACTCCGCAACTAGGAGAGGTAGAGTTCACCGCGATACGTATAAGATAAACTCAGAACATAGGGAGAAGAACCGAGGGACTGCTGAACAACGAAAGGAAAGAGGTCAACCAACTACTAACAGAACCACCAATAGACAACCACGACAATAATTCTGCCTGTCACCTGGCTTGAATCAGTCATTCCTGTCCTGAAAAGCTGTAAGCCAAAAAAACTCTGGCTCAACCTACAGACCCATGTCCCTAACAAGTTGCCAGTGCAAGCTACTGGAGTGCATGATCTTAAGATGACTCACCTGGCACCTCAAAGAATCGCAGGAATGCCATTCCAACTGTCAGGATTTAGACCACGATGATGCACGGTAGAAGGAATGAGAGACAACCGCGCAAACACATGCTTGGTTTTGTCTTTCTAAAAATTAAACGAGCATTTGACACTCTACCCCATAAAGTAATTGTACGACATCTCAAACATTTCAGCGTAAATGGCAAAATGCTCGCTTATGCAAAGACATTCCCCACGCTCGCTGGGTCAGAATTCCGCGAGCGACTAGCAGTCCACGCACTGTGATTCAGGGTGATCCTCAAGGAAGCATCCCTAGCTCTCAACTTTTCAGCGTTGCGATGGCACCTCTTCCGAATTTACTGCAACAACAGGGACTATTTCCCGTACAGATTTTCATCGCAGATGACTTGGCCCTGTAGCATGTTGGACCTACTCAACGAACAAGAAACGACAGCTCCAAGAAGCACTTACTAGCATATGCCACGTTATAGGAGAACTCGACCTGACACCTTCTCTGGAGAAAAGAGCATCACTGCTCTACCACCCCAGAGGGGCATGCAGCTGAACGATCGCTGCAGCTCAAACTGTATGACTTGTCGGTTCAAAATGTTAAAAGACAAATATCTCGTTCTCTTGGTAGATGATCGGATGACGCGGACACTGAAAGTTTGTAAAGTGATCTCCAAGCGCACCTATTTTAAGTTATCATTTGCCTTCAAAGCCATTCGCAGAGAACACCGCAACATGCACTGCTACAGTTATATTATGGTATCATCCTCTCTCGACTTCGCTACAGTCTTCTATTTCTCAGCATCGGCAGAGCACAAAACGAGCAATCAGTACAAGCCACAGGGTGGCACCAGGAATGTGTCTAGAACTGCTCCGATAAAGTGGAAACGTTCCCACACATGTTGCCGCCGGGGGATGGCCCGTATTACTTCGGGACCGATAAAAGAGGCAAACATCACCTCGCACGAATTCATGGTGTTTCGATTGGAACGTACTTTGCTTTCACGTCTTCTTGTCCACCAGAGTTCCCACTCTGATCATTTAGGAACGACAATTTACTTATTAATTGAACCACCGGAATACACCCCTAATCTTGAAGAACCATAAATGGATGTACCGCTATACATACGTCTTAGAGACTCTATTTCACATGCATAAGGCCGCAGTCTCTGGGCCGGTCAAGAAGTTACCTTCACGCAGTGTGCAAGTTGGACCAAAGCATACACCGACGGATCTACTAGCCCAGCGACTGGGACTGCTAACACAGCAGTACACATCCCTCCTCAAAATCTTTGTTTTGCACATGGATTAAACTTCGCCACAAGTTCGACTATACAGGAGTTGCTTGCCGTTCGGGGAAGTCATATTTAGTTGTGAGAACAGTGGCAGCGAGCGGATTCCAGATCAAACCTTTGCCTCCTTCAAGATCTAGACTCCGGCATCCCCTTAAGTGCAACACCTGTAGCAGCTGCCAGATTGGCTGAGAGAATGGGCTGGCAGCTTGTTTTTAGTAGCTGCCTGCTCACACTGGAATTACTGGGAACAAAAAGGCTGATGCCCTAGCATTCAGGGCCCATCAGCTTCATACACCCACCATCAATCTTCGCCGATACAACGAGGCTAGACGGCTCATTGGCGACATCTACCCTAAGCGCCACCCGCGCCAGGAGATAACTGACAGACGACTTCTTGCGATTCCCCATAAGCTTCCACGAGAGGAAGCGTCGCTGTTGCAAGATCAACATTACACAAGCTTGAAACACAGGAGGATATCAAACACGTCATTTTTTCTGCGAAGAGCACGCAGAAGAGCGCAACCCTATATTGAAGTGCTACGCCTCAAGTGGTCTAGCCTGCTCGTAAAATCAAGAATTGCTCATTTCAGTAGCAACAAGTCGTGTCGTCCACGAAATTTACAAATACCCTCTGTACTATTTACGAGCCTGGTTTAACGGATCGTTTCTAAATGTTTAGTTCCAAAACTCGACTGCCCATTGAAAATTGTTGAACTTGCGGCAGTCCTCGCAAGTTTAACCTAGACGTTTTCTAGATTTCCACCATATATTTATTAGCAACCTTTCGGCTTTCCCTATTCCCCACCCGGATAGCGACTCACACCGTAATGGAGATCATCATCTCTCCCGGCTGTCCCCCCTTTTCTTTGTACCTCAAAACATTAAACCAAACAAAACCTGATGGAATTAAAGGGGCGCTAAACCACTTTCGGCAATAGTTTATTTGTGGTCAGAACTCAAACTAAAATCTCCCAACATAAAAAAAACAAAAAAAACATTACTTTCACGCGCGACCGATTTCACTATAAAATCTGTATTAAAATTGATTACATCAGAACTATCCTAGACACCAGAGGGCGCCGTCGGACGACGAGAGGGACTTCTTTGGCCTCTCCTAGGCTGTGTTCCAAATCTTACCCAAATGGATCCGAGTTGCTCCGGCAGATTGTATCACGTGACAGTCCAGATTGAAAAACGCTGGGCGCGGGTAGGTTTTAGAACGGCAAGGGTACAAAACCCTTACCCTGGAGTAAGATCGAGTAAATTTGGAACACGGCCCTAGAGAGCCTTGATTTTAGAGAGGGCTCACTTCAAACGATGGGGAACGTTTGCAACCTCATGACGGACGCCTTCTGCGGAGTTTGGTCGCAATTGCGCATGCGCTGCCTAGTCGCGTGGCGAGAAAGAAAGCAGGCAAAAAGCCAGACACGCTTGCAGACGACCAACGCATTTTCCACATCCTCGTTATTCGTGTTGCAAATGAGGCCCATGAACCAGGTGACCTTAATCGAGCAATTGGAAACTCTCTGTAATATCGGCTCTCTATATTCCAGATCTGGCGGCGCCCTCTCGTGTCTGCCACAATTCCAAGTTTGCCAAATTTTGATACCGTGTTTATAAAAAAAGAAAAAAAGAAAAAAAAAACGTTGGTCGTGCTTGAATGCAATGTTTTTTTGTTTTTTTTTTTTTATTATTTATTGCGATGCTTTTAGACCATAAATTGAGGTATGACCTTACATAGGTTATCGCAGAACCTGGTTTAGTGAAACTTCTCTGGACGTCGAATTTTAGTCAAAGATTTGAGCACGGATTCGGCGAACTTGATACATTTATTACTTAAAGCAATGCTTCTTTAGACAAAGACATGAGCGGCAAATATCTCACACAGTTAATACATTTTTGTAAGAGCAGATCAAGAAACGTCACGCTTCAAATATTGCTTGATTCTAAAATATGATACGTTTGGTTAGTTCGCGTAGGCAGCCTAATTCCACATTATTTAATAACTGTGACCTCCATACAAAATAAATAACCATAAACTCTGATTTTCATGGGATCCAAATAACCTCGAAATACTGCGACATCTCTAACATTGTCTAATCTCTCCTTTGTAAAAAATATAGAACCTATATTTTTACAGTGCGCTCTTTTCAAACCCATTACGCCCCAATCAACTAAATGCTAGTATCCCCCGAAGCAGCACATCTATAATTAATGCCTTCTTAGCCCGAACCTCCGTTAAGCCTTCCAACAGTCATATTTAAAGTTGGTAGCACCGTTGATTTCGCATATTTAATTACTAATTTGTTAAATGGCGTTTCCTACTATATTGCATGTTTCTCTTCTTATTGTATCCACTTTTAGTTTGAGGTTACAGTGCCCATTTCCCATTGTAATGCCTCCGGGTTCCTAGAGAAAATAAACTATTTTAAATACTCTATGATTACAAAATGGTAATTATTAATAAAGAGTTCACCTTACCTTAATTTGTACATTCGGAGATGGGAATCCAAGGCCGTGCCAGCTTGATGCACCCATTGGGGGTGCACAAATTTCGCCAGTTTCTGTACTTCCATAAACGCTCCTGATTATATCCAGATCAAACGACTGTTCAATTTGTCTCATAGTCTGATACGTGGCACTTGTACCACCCAAAAAAACCTTCTTGACAGAATCCAATCGGATGCCTTTTTCCTGAATCTTATTGGCGAGCTCCAACATAATGGTCGAATTCCCCAACACCGCTGTTGCCTGCGCAAACATCAAAGGTAAAGCGGAAAAAATTAAAACTAATGAATAACTTCAAGTTAGCGTTTTTTTTATACCAGCAGACGCCGTATAGACTGAAGTTAATGTATGTACAGTGTTTTATAATATAACACTAAACAAAACTTAAAGTAAAAGCAAGTACGGCATGTGTATTTCATGGATGGTTGTGAGGTTGGGTGTGTCACAATTATATCGAAGGAGAATTCTCTGAGACATGCATATCATATCTAAAGTCATCCCTACGAACCTGCAATAAACGTTTAAGAATTGTGAGGGCACGAAAGCAGCTTATATAAAACACTTAGCGCCGTATCTGTAGTCTCCTTTGTGGTATTTCGCGTAAGCTTTTTGGAGCAGAAGTTCGTCAGCTTCTTGCTAAGGGGCCGTGATGACGTCGAAACGCCAAGCTGTTATTAGCTGATTGATGATAAAAATTAGTGAGTAGACCTCAATGCACCAACAATTAATATCTACCCACCATATTTCAAACAAAGAGCCACTCAAAGCTCGGCGTCGTTCTGACATTACCGCAACTCTTGCACAAGAGGACGACGACTAACTCTCCGCATACCGAGAAAGGGTGAGGGAATGGAGGCGATTATATCGCTGAGACGTCAAAGCGCCGAGCTCTGATTGGAATGTTTATGGGGTAGACGCCAAGGCTGGCTGCCTTCGTCTCTGCCAAACATGTCCATCCAATTAGAGGGAACAAGAGCGATCGTCTGTTTCTCGTTCAGTGTCTCACGTTCGAACGCCGGTGGTCGGTGCTTGAACCCGTTGGAGCAGTGAGCCGAGACAGGCAGCTAGCCTTGGCGTCTACCCACTAATTCGTCCAATCGGAGCTCGGTGCTTCAACGTCACAGCGCGATCTCATCTCCTCCTCACCCTCAGTTTTTCTATGTATAAGGCTTGTGTCGTCTCTTCTCAGGATGCTCCTGACGGGCACACCCTTACGAATCCAGAATTAGGAGTTGTCATAGCTCATGAACGTATTTATGAAAAGCTCGCCAGACCACATTATTCTGATTTGAGAATTTTGTTCAGCAGACTTTCAATTTACAGGAGAGCGCTGTATAAACCGCTCTTGCTTGTTTTCTTATACGTCTAAATGACTATGCTCTAACAGCAAACAAACGGTCAGACAGTTTAGCACTTAAATGTTGTGCTTGTCTATTTTTGCCGTTGCTCCATTGCAGACCGAAACAGGCCTGGGACAATCAAATATAACATATACGAAATCATTTACAAGCAGTTTTCACAAAATAGGATTTGTGCATAACATAAACAAGTATATGACGACATTCTGTAATACATTCATTAACTCTGCTTGCAAAGTCAAACAAATGCTCAATGTCGGACAACATCATACATGTTTGACAACCGTCCGTACCAGCATTCTCCATTACAAAAACCCTTTAACAATATGAAAGAGAAATCGAGAGGCTTGCAGAGTCGGGGTGTGATCATCTAACCATGCTCAGTGAACATAATAACATTGAAAAGGATGAGCATGACATGCCTTGTACTTCGTGATGGCGTCAAGGATTTCTGTTGTGCTAGCTTCTCTCCGTAAAAGAACAATCATCGTTCCAGATGTCCATGTTCGCAGAAAAGACCGATACCCAGCAGACGACGTAATAGGCACCCGGAAAACAGCAATATCATGATTATTGTAGAGGTTATGGAGCCTTAAAATGTAAAAAAGGAAAATCGCATTAATTGCTTGTGCAAGAAGACTACTACTACTGTAATTTTTTCAATGTCCTCCAAACGTACATATTAAACGGTATATAACATGCTCCTTTCAAAAGTTGATCGAGCAACATTGGTGGTCGACATGTCTTGGGCACATAATGCGTAGTATTGAATCTAAGTCCTCGCCGAGCGCTGAAACAACACTCAGGCACAATTGAATCTCAGTGAACATGCGCTAAGAGCGGCGTACACGCGGTGGCGCGCACTTTTGAAAAGGGTTTACTACTATGCATTTATGATCACGAAGAGAATTTGCGCTATAGTAAAAAACAGAAGTTTGCACATCGTAGAGACAACAAATCAGCCTAAAAAGAGTTAGTAAAAAAACTGCCACGAAGTAGAAAGTAGGTTATATTTGTCACCGCGATCACAGTGAGGAACATGAAAACAACACAGCACAAAAATAGTAGTAGGTTTCGGGCGCGTCTAGTGATCTAGAGTTTGGATTGGGCAGCATCTGTGCTTGTCGGTATGTACACTGGCTTTCGTAATAAAGCTCATGTCGGTTATTCCATTATTTTATTATTTACAAAAAAACCTGCCTCGCTGTGAGGCTCTAGAACTCTGTTGCAGGTGAGGAAAAGAAGGACAAGACACTCCCGCGAAACATATCTCTATCCTCTTAAGCAGAGCGTTCGAAGGAGAGGAGGCGAGTGGACTCGCATTCCTTCTCGCCTGGTCTCCAACGTGCACTCGCAAGAGTGTAAACATTGAAGGATTTTCCGGTAGGAACTTGTCCTCTTAACCTGCAACATAATATAGTAGGGAAGTGGTTATTACAAAGAAGCGTTCATAAAACCTTACTGCAATAGAACAAAAATACATGAAGCAATAAAAACAGTCTAGAGATATGTCTACATGGCTTGCACAAGACGTCACTCAAGGAGCGCTTCCAACCCAAAAGAGAAGAGTGGAAGAAAGAGCTCCCCTCTTTCAGGATCCTTTTTGGTGCCTCCCGGATTTGCTCAGACGTCGCTATTCTGCTTCCAGAAGAATATGGTAGATTAACCCGTCACTAAACATTCTGACAAAAGCCTTTTCCTGTCCTCCTCTTACATGGGGGTCAAAAGTGTGCGATGTGACGACAGTGCAAGCCATGAATTCGTAAAAGTATCACAGTAATAAAGAAATATATAGCCTATTAAGTCACCAAATATAAGAAAGTAATTATCTATCAAACATCTGAAATATGAAAAGCATAATCGAAAAGGATTGGAATATAAAAAAAAACATTCATCAAACAACCTTAAAAATCTATGTAAGAAATTGCTTTAAAAAAATTGTCAAAAATAAATCGTTAGGCAGTCTGTTAAATTCTTCGATAGTTTTCGAGAAAAAAAATAAAAAAAATGAAGATGAGATCAGTGCGTCATGAGGTCGGAATTTAGCTGGGGCGGTACGTTCTTCCTGTTACATTAAACGGTTCCTGTAAAACACACTCATATATATTTATAGTTAATGGTTACAAATATTATCAAGCAATGTTAACCCAAAAAAATCTCTTCCTTCACCGAGCGACTCCAATGCTGGTGACACTTTCTGACATGTTGTGTTAGCATACCACGATTTTCTGATTTGCAAGCGATTTCACCAACCATTAACATCGCCTTTAGAAAATTTCAAAAATACGTCGATGACTGACGGGGCTGTGTCAACATGTAAACCTTGCCGAGAACGCATTGGCGAACCTTCTAAACTGGGTTTCAGCGTGAGTCCAGACGCAACATATGCTACGAGGTCATCGCGCCAATCAAATATTGCAAAATCGCGTCACTGGGCCTTTTTTGTTTATGACTGATTCGGCGATAGTAGCACGTACATAAACATGACGAACACCACCATGGTGCTCTTTTGACGATGTCCGATTGGTCATATAAGATCGTAGCGTTGGCTGTGTCTAGACTTCAGGCGAAAGAAAGTATAGAACAAACCCGGGGCCAGGGAAACTGGGCACCAGGCTCATATGCGTAAGTTCAATGGCTTTAGGGATACCGGTTGTTCCGGATGAGTAACCCAGCACAGCCACTTCGTCTTTCACGTTCTCCACCGGAAACTCCTCGTAGCTATTTTCATCCAACTTCTTGAATTCTGTCACTGAAACAAATCCTGGTGCGGTTCCCGTAGTAAAGCAACCCTGGAAGCACAAAACATGTTCGTAATCGTGGAATCCCGAAAGATTTGTCACTGTTGGATGGAAAACATTCGCTCAACAATTTGAATGAATCAAAATGAGTCTGGCAAACATGGAGATATGGTTCACTTATAACCCCCCGCCCCCCCAATTTGTACAGCTTCAGAGATTGAACAGCTTAATTATTTAAAAAAAACAAAAAACCTCCCCTGTAGTTAAAAAAAAAAAAGATTATAGAGCTCCACTAACTAAATTTATGTTGAGAAGTAACTAAATATCCGCTCTACTTTTTCGACGCATAGTACCTGACTAATGTCGTGCAGATTATATAATAAGACCCCAAGGAAACCGAAGGACGTTTATTTCTTATTATTTCGCAAGTTTCGAAGTTTTTAGTTTAGCTCCGCGAATCCTTTTTGTTGTTTCTTTTTATAACAACTAATAATTCCAATTATTTTATGACAAAAAAAAACATTTATAATAAATGATGCTTGGTACCAGATTGTACTGTGCAATGGAAATTTAGCTTCTTAATAAAGTATGGGAATATTTTTGTTTGAAAATATAAATCACTTCAATTTTAATTCCAACTGTAGGGTATTTCGTAACATTTCTAAAGCAAAAAAAAAACCTGAGTAAAAGTGCAGCCTAATTGTTCGACAAATTAAAACGTGTAGACGCGAAATCTTCGTAGCCATTTAATCAAAATGGCGCCTTTCTACCGCAGGCTGCGCTCCGGAGGAGCGCCTAACCTTGCCGAACTTTAACAGTCCTATGACCCTAACTCTGGTCTACTAACTTTTTGCTTCAAGGCCTCAGCCATTGCGGTAGTTTGTTGGCTTCTCTATTACCTCCCTCTGATTTGTCACATAATTGCCAAAGTGTCAGAGATAAGCCGAAGATGCCACGTACCAAGCGAACAGCCAACGGTTAAAGCAAATTCTGGCAGTTGCTTGACAAATTAGGGACACAGTTCTCAGGTAAAAACTGAACAACCAAAAGTAAGGATGAGCTTTGGCCTTTCCTCGGGAATTGAGGCCCACAAAAGTCAGGTGAAAACCGAACCACCAGGCACCGAAGCTTAACACTGGCACTTATAGACCCGACTCACAACTTCTCACAACAATGGGAAGGGGGAAAGCTAGACCTGGCTGGCTAAACTGGGCAGCGAACGCCATCTTGAAAGTTGCTCCCGGTATCTGTACGTCGCCTCAATACGAGTTTCGTGGTTTCGTGACGAGGTCGTGTGTTCAATAAAACTGCTGTTTCTTTATCACGATGGCACACTTCGTCTTTTCTTTTTTTGCTTCGAGATTGAACAACAGAGCAAGTGGTGCTATTAATTTATTAAAAGTAAAAGTTGATTCGTTCACTCTAAAAAAAAAGGGGGTGTAGGCGTTACACTCCTTGTCACATATACGACACCCCAAAACTTTAGTTTGATGTACAGCGCACTGACGTTGTACCGACGCTACCAAATTTCACGAGCGGCTTGGTAGCCGAGTTGTACAACTCATTAAAACAGTTAATGTAAGTGTGACTGACTGCAAAAAAAGTTACCGGGGTTTTCTAGGCTCAACTGCAAAACCTGTGTGTTTTTTCCCTGTAGACTTTAATACGTACTTTAGCTGTTTAATATGTTAGATTGCCCCGTCATCGACCCTCTTGCAAAAGTTGGGGCAGTCAGTTCGACGTCAGCGCGCTGTACGTCCAACTGAAGTTTTGGGGTGTCGTATATGTGACAACGGGTGTAACGTTTACACCCCCTTTTTTTAGAGTGTTCCTTGAACGCCCTTCATGTGTTTCGATGTTGCGCTCGCTGCCACCTTGTTGTAAAAGGTAAGTGAAAGATCGTGACTACGAGATCTCAAAGCTTGTTTTTGCATCATACTGTTACTTTAGAGCAAGGGTCTCCAAGTCCGGCCCGGGGGCTTTATCTGGCCCGTGGAGGCCTTCCCACCTGCCCGCGGCTGGCCGCCGTGGTTGCAGCGACGGCGGCCCACGTCCCTTTTCCAGTAGGCCCGCTGGCGCAAAAATAAGCGCCAGTAAATAAACGGCCCATTGACGCTTACCAAATGCTTCGTATCCGTTCTGGTTCTTATTCCTCTGGTAGTTTTGTGCCATATTTATTTCACATTGTCATCCACACCGGCATCTCCCCTCTCGGTTTCCCGTTTCATGTCTGTGTAACTAAGTTAAATTCATAATGCGTTCCCATGTATAATGTGCCCATTGTCCTGTGTCATGAGTGTCGCCTATTCTTATCATCAGTCGATTCATTCTTATCAGTATTCGACAGTCTGCAAATATGCCCACGTTCCCATGCGCTTTGATTTATGCCCGGTAAATGTTTTGTGGGATACGAATATTGCAAAATGACATAATTAGGCAGATATTAAATTATGCTATATCCTCAACTGCATTACTCTCAAGTCTTGATATTAGTAGCTAATGCACCTTAGATTATTTTTATTTTTTGTTTAGAATGGGGATACACTTTGATTTTTCTGAATTTAAATTTGTATCAAGGTCAACTTAGTCCATGTTGTTTTTTTTTTCGTTTACATATCTGTTTTTTTTTTCCCGTAAGCCATAAAGTTTGGAAACCCCAGTTCTAGAGTCTAGTCTCAATCAGTCCCGAGCTTATGTAACACGCAGTGCACATTTGTCGGCAATCTGATGACTTCAAGTTCACAGATTGCTATTCGCTGCACTCACAAGTCTTCTGACTGCTAAACTCGACAACAGGTTGCAGACTGCACGCGGAGCTGGTAGGTTTCATTTCTAGACGCAGTTTTTTCTTAAAGCAGTGTTACTTTCCATTTGCTTGGGCAGGGCCAGCATACGATCTGTGTAGACTGACTATGTAAAAGCCAAATATGATTGAATCGCAACTCCCTCTTAGACCTTTTTAAGTTATGCCGCGGAGTATAACATGTGACAGCTAGATGATGGACATAGAAGAAGAAGAAACCAGGCAGAGCAGGGATAGAAGAAGAAAAAGAGGGGGAATCAAAGAAATGGCGGATCGAGTAAAGCACTATTTCGTAAGCTATCTCGAATTGTATTTGTAGAACGTTACATTTTGGTGCAGCCGACAGGATCCCATCATGTGGATCACCCTCACTATAAAAGATGACGCCGGAGAAGACCTGGTCTTCTCATCTTGCCAGCCTCAAGACGAGGAGGCATTTCCACTACCACCTCGTATCACTACTCGGGAGTTGATTCAACTCGTTTCTGACAAGACAGGACTGGACGTCAGTGCCATCCTACAGAAAAGGACTGTCAAGGTCAACCTAAAGGTAGCAGATTTTCAGACCTTTATCATAGAGCCCATGGAGGAGGGCCCGTTGAATCCTCAAGACGGCTTCCGCTTCCATGCCGGTCCTCAAGGCGGCTCTCAAACCGGAACCCAAGGCGAGTTCCAATCCAACTTTCAAAGCGATTTCCAATTGGGAACTCAAGGTGACTTACAGGCCTGCCCCCAAGGCAATAACCAGGCCTATCCCCAAAACAGCTTTGTCGGTCTCGAAAGCCTTCAGCGTGCTGTTGTCGCTAACCCTGAGGACCCAAATTACCTTGTCCACCAGATCCTCCTTGCATAACAACAACAAATAATGCAAAACCAACAACTGCTTCAAGCCATCGTCGGACTTTCACGAAACCAGGAAGCTCCACGCTTTCGAATGGTAAAGCGGGACCCGTTTGATGGTCACACGACACACTCAGAAGCTTGGTTGTCATTTTATGAATACGCTAGTGAGAAGAATGGCTGGCGTTCCGACGATGACAAAGTAAAAAATCTGCGACTTTTTCTCACCGGAATGGCGAAAAAGTGGTATGAGCTCCACTTAACGGACCATCTCAACGACCCCTGGGAACAGTGGAAAAGAAGTTTTCATTCGGCATTTCAAGAGAATCCCGTGGAGAAGTGGGATAAAGCTATATTCTACAAGTACAAAGCAGGAAGTGCCATGGAATATTTCTATGAAAACCCACGATTGCTCCAGATGGCAGACTACTCCCTACCAGACACATCCGTAGTCCCGCTGGTTATTCACAGACTTCCGAAAGAGCTGCAAAAACAGGTCCAAGTGAAAGCGCCCAAAACTGTGGAGGGCCTTCTGGACTGTTTTCAACATCTCTGCTTAGATGCGTGGCCCCGAGCAGCGCAGAAGCCTACTGAAGCAACCCTTCAGTCGCACAGATATGGAAGTCTTGGACAAAAGCTTTCGCATTGGAATCCACAAGCTGTGGCACAGAAGCAGTCAGCGACTCACCTAGCAACATTTGAGGACCGTGAAATGGCTGAAGTCCAGACAACCACAAAAAACTGATAAAGGAGGGTGTACAGTCCCACCCCTCGACAACAATGGAGACTGTCTTTTTGTCCCAATCAACACTCTTGTATATAAATGTAAATGTGAATTGAAGAACTTTAAAAGCTCGCGTCGACAGCGGAGCGTCTGTGACTATAGTTAACCAAGAGTTTGTTGATCGTGAAAGGACTTTTGATGGTCGTACAATCGAGGTTCAAGGCTACGACGGAAGAAAGAAAATACACTCCAAATGGATTCACCTGACCATTCAATATGAATCCCAACAAGTCCAGACCGAAGCTCTAGTAACTAATGGATTAAATTATGACTTGCTACTGTCTCGGCCGGATATGAAGAGAATGCACATCAACATATACTGGGATGATACGGTCCAAGTATCTGACACAAACCTTGCCAGTGCAAAGGAAAAGGTAAAATATGTGGAATCGGTTGATGATATACTCATTAACTACCCAGAAATAATACCTGTGGGCAAATATCCATCCGCAACCACTTGTTTCGAAGTACCATTCGAGTTGCCGGATACCACCATTGTCAGACGGAAGCCATACAACATGTCTTTAGAAAAGAAACGTTGACTAAAGAGAGAACTAGAAGACGTGCTGGATGCCGAAATCATTCGACCATCTGTCTCTTCTTTTGCATCACCTATAACCATCG